ACTACTAAACGTCCACGTATTCAACCGCCTCAGTGGTCTCGTGTTCGCATCGAGCGTGGGAGGTCGTCGGTTGGAATTCCAACCAAAGACTTAAATATTTGTATTTGCTAGTTCACCGCTCACGCAGCATTAAGAAGTAAGATCAAGGAATGGTTGGCTTGGAGTCAGAAAGATGTGTCTTTGATGGGTGACATGTCTTCCTGCGGACTGTTACCTTCTGAAGTAGCATGTAAAGATCCTGCTTAGCGTGTCGGGCTAGTAGAACGTTTATTCATATTAATCTAACATGTTCTTGTCCTGAATATGCATTTAAGTTGCCGCTGGAAGTTAAACAACCATCCATCATCATTATCGTTTCTTATATTGACAGCAAACTTTGTGAATAGAACATATTTATAACGTCTTATTTCATTTACGAGCGCTGGGTCGATACATCCGCTTGTGGACTAATCGTCCGTGAGGATATCATGTGTCAATTAGTAAGTGCTTCGGTTATGATATGATTTATAACACTTACACATACTTTATGTTTCTAAAATTCCTCGTTGATAAATTATCTTATTATATATGAAACAAAGGTTCCAAACTCCCTCAATGATATAAGGACCTTTAAAAATGTACTCTCAAACAGTAGAAAAACGAAGCAAAAAAAAAAAAAAAAAAAACAAAAACAAAAAAACTCTCACCTCACTGCAAGTTTAAGACGGCCCCAATTTCTAAAATAGAGATATATACATATTCCGTTATATGAGAAGCTAAAAGTTTATATTGAAATATTATAAACAAGTGTTCATTATATCAAAATATTCATACCATGAATTTACTCCCTAAAGAGCCTCTAACAAATGTGTATCCTGGGTCAGGATTATTATATAAATAAGTATCGACGACAAATAGGATTATGCTTACCCTTCCAGAGCACTTGATATCATTTTATGACATTGTGTCACTTCCATTTGACAGTCACACGCTACCATAAAGGGATAACATTTTCTAGAATGAGCATATGCAATTATAGGAAAACAGCTTTACATGTATATATATACTGCGCTGATAATGAAAAAAAAAATAACAGTCTTACGATTTGTGCATACTGATACATGTATGACGGTAATATACGAAGGAGATATTATAAAATCGGATTGACAAATATTCCGGCCCATCAAATAGCCTTCTTCAGTGTCAACGTCTCTATCAAATGAAATACAATTCAGTCTAGGTGTTTATGTTTGAAAAAAACTCATTAAAATAGGTAATAGCATAAACGGTACCAAATTTAATACACCGGATGCGCATGTCGACAATTAATATCTCTTCAGTGATGCTCGAAGCCAAAATATTTGAATATACAAAATCTAATACAAATGTTAAAATTTTAAACTATTGATTTAATCCGAAATCCCGCACTTCATAAAACAAAACAAAACTTAATACTAAATAGACGTGTCTGAGTATTCATATACATCCAAAAATGTCAAAATATAGTAGTTTGTGTAAACAAGTCTAAATTGAAAACAACGTTCAAACCTATGATTGCGTTGGATTAAAACCGCAATTTTTATTCGTGTGCATCGAAACAAATTTCTTGGAAGAGGGGTCTAAATACAGCACAAACAACATTTTCCAAAAGACCAAAAAAGTGAAAAAGTAAATTTTAACAAAACGCATTTGACTAACAGGTCGAACAACAAATGTTCTTAAACCCTGCTGACTGCCATGGCGATTGCCAAATAAACGGATCACCAGATGTAACAAAATGGATCTTAATTATAAATTAAAATACCAGTAAGAAAACAATAAACTTGCGGAAAAGATGGTTTACCGCAAACATGAGGTGCAAAAATTTGTACACCATATCTGGATTTCGTCAATTAATGTCTATTCAGTGATGTTAGGAATCCAAACGGTATTTGGAAGGCCATACAATTTACCTCAATTTAGGATTGACTCTTGAATTTTGAAGAGTCGAAATAGGATGAACGGATTATATAAACCCGAAGGCAAATATAATACAAGCCATAACGAAAAAATATAAACAAGTCTAAATTGAAAACAACGTTCAAACCTATGATTGCGTTGGATAAAAACCGCAATTTTCATACGTGTGCATTGCGGTTTTCAGGGGCGGATCCAGGATTTTGGAAAGGGGGGGCGTAGTATGTAAAGATCGCCGAGCGGAGCGAGGCGAAATTTTTTTTGACCTTTTTTGGGCTATAAAACATATAATAAGTGTAAAATGCACATTTTTAGTGACGGTTCCTAACGTGGGGTATGTATATTTTATAGTTAAAGTGTAAGCTTGGGTTGGACATTTTTGATGCCGCGCGCGCGCATTCTCCCCATTAGTTGTCTATTATAAAATGATTGAATAGATCTAAAGCTATGTACTAATATATATTTGATGTGGGATTTGTCAGTAAAAAATGGACATGGAAAATTCTCGTTTGTTGTATGGTTAGTTAGCATAACCTCACAGATTACTTGTTGTAAACATGGTATACGGCTATTCAATGAAGTTTATAATACGACCGACACGAACAAAGACAGACAAGCAATTTTTATCCAAATGTTTGGTTGAAATGTTTCACTCAACAAGGGAAGTGAGGGGTTCCAAATCAACCAACGGCTACGAATGAGTCTGAAAATCAAATGACAACGAAGTTGTGAATGACGGTCGACAAATGGAGACATAAAGGCCACACCCAGCAGGCAGGTTGCAGTTGGGCCTTGAAAAAAGTATTCAGTATATCAGTTCGGCGAAACAGACATTCCGGTCAGATATGGGATTTACATGTACATGCAAACCCCCCCACCCAAAAAAAAAAATTACGCCCGTTTTTTATTCACCAGGTTCATTTAATGCTGAATAATTCTGTTGGATTTTTTTTTCTTATAGCAAAAAAGGGGACACGATAATTGTTTTCATCAGATACGGCCATAATTTTTGTTTAAGGCAAAAATCAGGGTCAGAATTTTTTCTCTAAAATATCTCAGACTGCCCTATCAAATCAAATGGTCCATACCTTAGACTTTAAATATATCTATAGCTTACTGACTGGGGATCATTATTCAGCAATGTTATTAATTGGCTGGGGCGTGTGGGGTTAAACATATTTTCGTAGGTAAATAATATTGCTGTGGAACTTTTTTTTTCATGAGATTGTAATAGAGTATTACTTTCTGCTGAGTGGAAATATGTAATAGAAGTCAATACGTTCTTGCTCAATCCTTTGTCGCTTTGAAGGCATCATGCTTGTCATCCTCCGCCTAAGCAATGTGTTACTGTAATTTGTGAATTTCAAAATGACTGAGTGACGTTTCAAACGTACTGATCAACTCCACCGTAGCGAAACACATGACTGACATAATCAATAATATATTACAGTAAGTACGAGCGAAAATATCTTTATAAGTAAAGAATTGTCGCATAAAAATTAAATACACGACCGGAAAATGGCAAAGTTCTCGAAGTCTAGTCTGATTCATCATTTTACAAAAAAAAAATAAAAAAAGTTCAAGCAAAGGGGGGGGGGGGGCGTACGCCCTCTACGCCCCCCTCTGGATCCGCCACTGGTTTTTATCCTACGCAATCATAGGTTTGAACGTTGTTTTCAATTTAGACTTGTTTATATTTTTTCGTTTGGGCTTGTATTATATTTGCCTTCGGGTTTATGTTTATATAATCCGTTCATCCTATTTCGACTCTTCAAAATTCAAGATTCATTCCTAAATTGAGGTAAAAGAGGGACGAAAGATACCAGAGGGACAGTCAAACTCATAGATCGAAAACAAACTAACAACGCCATGGCCATTTTATACCCACATCATCTATGGACATATGCACGAAAGCGGGGTTTCGATCGATGATTTAAGGAGTTGTTTTTTTCTAATTTGCCCATAAAAATGTTAGCGTACGATGGAGCCATTTTGTACTTATAATAGTTCCATTAATTTGTAAGTAAAAATCTCCATCTAAGGTGAAGTTGTTGTTCTTCAGTACCAATGTGAGTATTTTGACAAATCATTCCGTAGGTGGAGATTATACTGGTCAGGAATCCTAAACTATTGTACATGCATCAATGTCATCTGCGTGTGGAATATTTGTACATGTAGAGGGAGGTGACATCCAAAGAGACAAGTGTGGTTTCGGCAGGAAGAGGATTTACGGCCTTTTTTTAATGATTCTTCCTGGGTTATTAGCCTGATGGATTTTTTGTAAAAGATAAAATCTGGCAGGTTTTGGATTTTCTGGTTTCAAATACATGTATTCAAGAGTTTTGTCATAGATGAAACCATCATCGTTCATTTCGTTTCATTGAAAGAAACAGAAAAAGGACACACAGTGACGCTTCTCGAGAGGAGAAATGTTTCAATTGGTGTTTAGATAAATTGACCACAATATTAAAAAAAATCTGCTCGAAAAATAAAAAGGCAATTCCACAGGAGTGGCATTGAGAACATCCATCCATCTATTCCACCTAAAGAAAAAAAGAAAAAAGACGCCGCTTCAAACGCTTTAAGAGACGAATACAAACTCCAATATTGTGTTCAGTTTATCTTAAAATCAGTTGACAGAGGCCAAAACATACCTGCCCCTGTCAATGAGACAAAACTGTCAGAAGACCAGGTTTAGTAAGATTCCCTAAGGTACACGCAGAATAAGTTTGGTAACTTTTGGATCAAGAAGTTTCAGAAGCAAAGATTTAATAAAGAATTACGACAACGGGCGCTAAGTGATGGCAAAAGTTTAATATGTTGAAGAAAATATGTATAACGAGTTAAATCAATTCAAAACTACATACATTTGTATTTCTTGGTGCTTTTCTATTTTGTTTATCAATAAATTTGCCCCTTTAAATGCAAAATAACCGCAATTGAGTCATACAAAATAATAAATTACAAATCCTTTCACATTTGACAACTTGTTTATTCATCGGAAAATCTTTCATATATGGTTAATGCATTTTTTTTTTCACATTAACGATAATATTATTATTTAAAAGTACGTAATTGCTTACATCCACTTCATTTGAATTTTGGTAGATTGTTGTCCTATTGGCAATCATACCATATCTCCTTTTTTTATATGTATATTTCTGTCAACATATTGTGAGATCACATTTGAACGGCGATCATAGTGAGTGTCACATCTGGTATACGATAATTTTCTGGTTACATTTACAAGTCAGATTCAACGGAGAGATTCAGTATGGATTTCAATGTTCTCTTTTTTAATTCGATACCAGTAGTCATTCATCTCTTGGTGTTTTCAACAGACTCAGGTAACTCATTGTTTATACATTATTAAAGTAAATACATTTAAGTATTGCTTATGAAATTTTACTGAATGAATTCTCCTGCATATTTTCCCTGCGGTTTTCAATCGAAGATGTCGAATTTGATGTTACTGGATACCCAAATTAAATAGATGTCCTTACACAAATACTGATGCTGGGTCTATCAAATGCCCTACAAAACCTCTTTCCAAATTATAAGCAGCTACTTTATTACAAATCAAAACCGGCCTTCAGAGTCACTGTGAAACAACATACTCTAAGGGCGGTGCGAGTCGGATGTGGAAACAACAATATTCAAAAAATCTGTAAGGGTAGTTACAAAAAAAAATTTTTCTCATGCAATAGTATAACAAACAAAAAAATTGACTTCTCTACATCTGACTCTATTATTCATCTTTCTTAATTCAAACAAAGATTTTAATTGATCAAAAATATCTTGAGCAAGGAAAAAGCAAGTAAAATTGACATCATTAAAATCGGCTGGATTTTGTTAATTGACAACATACATTTATTTTTTACGTTTAGAGGATATGTTTTGAACAGATAACCGACACTCCTATGGGAACCAACTGTGCTCTGTTTGCTGATTTGTTCTTGTATTCTAATGAGGCAGACTTCATTCGGAAGATCCTCAAAAATAATACAAAGAAACTGGCATTATTATTACTTTCCGCTATATAACTGTTTAAGTGTGTAAGACTATGTTTACTGCATCTATCATAATGAGCTTGAAATAAGGGATACAACAGATACAGTTAAGTCTGCCTCATATGTAGAGTGTCATCTAGAAAATGACAATGAAGTTTGTTAGGTTAAACTATACATCAAAAGAGATCATTAAAATTTTCCCGTTTCTCTGTAGCAACATTCAAGCAGTAACTTTATATGGAGGTTAATACGATATTCCAGAGCTTGCTTTTCCTAGTATTATTTTCTCGATAGAGGGTTGCTGCTTACAAGTAAATTATAAAATTAAGGGTTTCAAGAGGATATGATAGCCTTTTACCGTTAGGCGTCAAATGGTACTTTTCGACTATCGTTAGCGTCAACTTGATTAACTTTTTATCGTGATTCTTCAAAGGTCTCAATTATTTAACGGCATATGGCAAAATTTGGGGTACTTTGCTAATTTGCATAGCGGCCATTTTGCCTTATCATGAAGACAGCCATTTCAATAGGATTATACATGACCCTTAGATATAAATGCGAATATGCCAATTCCTATGTCGAATCAACAATTTATCCGCATATAGGTGAATTGTACATGTTTTTTGGTTTCTGCCCGTGTACAAATGAACATTATCTACTTTGAAAACGTTCAGCCTTTTTAGTTTGAAAATCGGAAGCGTAACCGTAGTATAATTGCTATATAAAATAACGAAAAATCGTATGAAAGCAAGATTCAAAATAGAAATAAAGATACATGTACAAGAAGATTATTGTTCATGATTTGTTCGCATATAGGGAAACAACTTGTAGGTTGAATTTTAAGGTTCAATAACTTTTATCTTACCTTCTTTCTTAAGTTTTCGGCCAAAAGGACTGGATTATCCGCAAATTTGATATAATTTATATTTTCAATCTACAACTAAGGGAAGTAATTTAATCAAAAGGGCCAAAGTCACGTGATGCAAATTATATGAATAAAGTATCTAGGATTTTGCCATATGGTTATCGTTTAGTCAGGATTTTACTTCATGAAAATTATCTCCCCATTACGCCACCTATTTTTTCAATGATGAAAATGGAAGCCACTGTAGGGATAAAGCGCTGTCAATTTAGCTCTAGAAAACCGATTTATTTATCCACATAGCATCATTACTATCCTTACATGACAGTTGTATTTTAAAAGATAAATGTATCTAACATCTAATAGTCATCATTCTATGTACTTTTAGGCCTTTTGTCAACTTAAAACTATTTTCTGATCGATTGTTAGTGGGAATTTTTTTTTAATGTTAAAAAGAAAACAACACTTAAAAAAAATTGTATTGAATATTTCGTGGAAGATCAGACTAAAGCGCCTGCATACGGAGTACATTATATATCTCCCAGTTGATACGATATTCCAGGGCTTGTATTTCGTATCATGATTTCCCTGATAGAGGGTTGCTGCTTCCAAGGAAACTATTAAACCAACAGTTTAGTGGTGAAGTTGAAATCATCCTTACGTAAATTTTACGGACGCCATCACGAGTTGGTTGATCGTTATGGAATATCTGTTTCAAAGATGACAACGGATATATTCCAATTGTCGTAACTACAATCCCGTCCTATTTTCTCCGAATGTGGCCTACCGAATTAGACTTTTCACCGGTTTGTACTAACATGAGCAACACGGCGGGTGCCACATGTGGAGAAAGATCCGCTTACCCTTCCGGAGCACCTGAGATCACCCCCAGTTTTTGCTAGGGTTTGTGTTGCTCAGACTTTAGTTTTCTATGTTGTGTACTGTGTACTGTTGTTTGTATGTTTGTCTTTTTCTTTTTTAACCATGACGTTGTCATGTATTTTCGACTAATGAGTTTGAATGTCCCCTTAGTATCTTTCGCCTCTCTTTAAACATTTTCAGAGGTTGAAGACTAATTACCTTCGATAAAACACACAACACTTGTTTTTTGGAGTTATGCATAAACAAAATCCACAAGTAAAGTCTGTCGTCAAGGGGTTTCAGTAAAAAAAGGTAGGGGTGTCAGTGAACAATGTGTTTGATTTTTTTTAAGAAAATTTCATGAATTAAATAAATAGGGACATCATGGTACCAGTGGAACAAAAAAATATGAAACCAAGAAGACGTTTTAGGCAATGTCATTCATACGAATCAGATGGCTAAATGAGTAACACGAAGGTTTTCACTTGGGGAGCAACAACTGCTTACGCATACGAAGCACCTATTTAACCCACTGTTTTGGTGTGGTTCGTGTTGCTTAATCTTTTTCCTTTGTGGTGTTTTTGTAGACTTTTGTTTGTATTTTCGTCGTTTTTGATGTGGCAATGGTCGAGGCTTTTGTTTTCTACTTATGGGTTTGATTGCCTTGGTATTGTTTAGTCTTTCTTTAAAAGTTGCATTATACATATGTATGTATTACATTTGAAATGAATTCGAACATTTTAAAGCATAGATCACCTAAAATTTCGTTTGAATATTCTTAAAGCACTCAAAGTATCTTTTCAAATACAAGGATGTCTGTGAACCCGGGCCTATTTTATATTTATGCACATCAATTAGTTTGTTTTTTAAAGATGAAATATTTTGATATTTCTTTAGTAGTTATTTGTTATAAAATAAAATTTTATTACATCCTTCTTGAATTAAATTATCTTTGCTTACATAGATATGATAATGTAAAAAGCATCAAACACATAACACACTATTTTTGTATGTTTCCTAAGGAATACATTATTACTTGAACAGATATTTAAAAAAAAAAAAACGCAAACGCGTTAATCACCTTACGCATAACACAATCTGACTGTGTTGATACGCTTATAATGTGAAAATTTAAAAAGCCACTGACTTAATATTTTCCATTTTTTCGTCAAGACAGATGAAGTTAACAAAAATTTAATCATAATTGATACCAACTATTAAATAATTATATAGATATTATGAGATTTGATATGATAGCCAATGATACAACTATCCACCAAATGAAGTGGATCTAAGCAATTATAGGCAACCGTACGGCCTTCAGCAATGACAAAATGGCCCCGACATGAAACATGTTAAACATTTCAAACTATATATAGATATTTTATAGGATCGTAAAGGAAATTTTATCAAAAAGACACATTCAAGGTCAATAGATAATCGAATTTATTGACATATAAGGGCTAATTTTGAAGAAAAAAACTGTCTGTCAAATTTTTTTCCATTATATCAATGACTAAATTACTATTCTCTGAAAAATATTATTGTTTCAATGGCTCTAAAAATTATTCTGAAGAAGCTTAATGGGAAAGAGGGTCTACATTTGAATATTTGTATAAATTTGATATTAATGATCGTGAAAAATCGGTATCACTTTTTTGAGATAGTGAAAGATCCGGTGTCGCTTATTTGTCATTGCATAAATTAATGAAAGTGTTCAAATCATTTTGTAATAATAATAACATTTTTATGTAATTGATACTACAAAAGACTGGAATTCCATGACTTTTTCTGGCTCACTTTTTGTTCGGGAATTATCTGTTAGGCTATGAAGGTTCAATGTCATATTGTTTTTTTTTTATTAAGACCATACCGAATAGTCTGTGGTGCCATACAGCAACTTTCTGTATGTTTGTCCGCCCATCAAAATTTTGATGTCGATATGAGTAATTAAACCATTGTGGTGACGTCAGCCTATTCATTTACCGTGGATTCTTTTTCTAGAATCAACGCTTCCTAAATCTGCCGCTGAAATGGACTCATCAAATTATATTCAATTGTTTCCTTTGTGTCTCTAATTTCATTTAGAATATAGCAAAGTACTCTCGACCAATGAAATAGTAGGATTGGATGCCTCTTAACTGTGAAGAATGAATGTAAATCATATTCTTAGTAAGGGATTATCCTATTATTTGGGTCTATTTACAGTTCAAAACAAAGAGTTTCTATAAATGAGTTACAACTGCCCCGAAGCACATTTATCAGATTGAAAGGATTTATCACACAGTGATTGAAACTGACTAAAAGTTGAATTGTGAAACAAACAAAATAAATTGAAGTTTACTGGTGCAGTAAAATTGGTACCGTGAATTTTATTATGAAAATATTAATAACTTCAAATTACTATAAAATTAAACAATACCAAAGCAATGCAAAAAAAAGAAAAAAAATCTTTCAGATAAGAAATAACCTAAATCTTTAGCTTTCCAAAACTTTGATTACTTGATCAGCGGTTAGGTTGAATAGTTATTTCCAATACATATATTCCGATAAAAAAACAGGAATTTAATTTTGAACATATTAAAAACATTTAAGGGCATTATTTTCGAACATT